CCCGGCCCCTGCCTGCACTCCCCCGCTGACACCCCCTCCCCGCCCGCAGCTGGCACCACCGACCACACCGGCATCGCCCTCAAGAGCCTCTTCTGTGCCAACGCTGCCGCAGAGCCCACCGAGGTGAGCACCCGGCCCTGCCCATCCCTGCCTGGCCTTTTCTACCCACTGCCATCCTATCCCATCATTCCCATCCCTTTCCAGCCCTTCCCACTCCTTCCCAGTCCTGCCCATCACTTTCCATCCCTTCCTACTCCTGCCCATCTCTTCCTGCCCATTTCTGCCCATTGCTTTCCATCCCTTCTCATCCCCTGCCTGTCCCATCCCTTCCCTGCCCATCCCTGCCTGTCCCATCCCTTCCCTGCCCATCCCTACTTGTCCCTTCCCTGCCCCTCCCTGCCTGTCCCTTCCCTTCCTTGCTCATCCCATCCCTTCCCTGCCCATCCCTGCCCATCCCTGCCCATCCCTGCCCATCCCTGCCCATCCCTGCCCATCCCTGCCCGTGGCACCACCACGCCATGCCCTAACGCCGCTGTCTCTCCCCACATGGTGCCAGGCCCAGGGCATGGCCTATCGCAAGGCCAAACACGTCCGCATTTCCATCGCGGTAAGCTGCAGCCAATCACAGGCTGGGCACAGCTCCTCTCAGCCAATCAGAGCCCAGCATGGATTCTCTGAACCAATCAAGGGCCTAGCAAGATTCTCCTTGGCCAATCGTGTTTGGTCTGTATCTGTGCAGCCAATCTCAGACCATGCCGATTCTGCTCAGCCAATCACAGTGTGCGTCCTCCCAGTCCCAAACCTTCCTGGTGAATCATAGCGTGACCCAGAGCCTCTCAGCGAGTCACGGCCATGGGATTTGCCCCACTTTGCTCAGCCAATCATGGCACAGCCTGCGTTCTCTCCACCAATCACAAGCCTGGCTTGTCCTGCCTTGGCCAATCATGGTGTGACTTATGTCCTCTCAACCAATCACATTATGCGGCCTGCGCCCTGCCTGCATCCTGCCCACATTCTGCCTGCGCCCTACCCAATCACTGCTGCCTGCAGCCTCACAGCGCCCTGCCTGTGCCCTGCTCGCTCCCTGCCCCTGCCTTGCCCGCACCCTGCCTGCAGTGGGCGTGCTGCCTGCTGCCCTGCCAGGCCGCCCACGCCCGCCTCTTTTGCAGGAGGAGATAGACCTGGGTGACAAGATGACCCCGGCGGAGGTGAGGGAGCGGGCAGGGGCAGGCAGGACCCTCCTGCCTGCGGGGACACAGGAGATCCCAACGGGGTGCCAAGGCATGGCGGGAGGGGGGGGCAGTGCCCCCACAGTGTTGGGTGCAGGGAGCGTGGGGGGCCTTCGCTGGCACCCTGGGGGGCTGTGCCCCCTCACCCTGCCCCACGGCGTGTATCCCCCCCCTCCCCCAGATCC